AGAGAGATTCAACGTACACTACAAGGGCTATAGTCATTAAGGCAGCTTTGACTGGCACAAGAACAGGGACATTTGACAGTGGAGACAGAACAGAGAACCAGATATGAAAACCATCTCATATAGCAACTAATCTTCAACAAAGCACGACAAAAACATACACTGGAAAAGATATCCTCTATTCATAGAATGGTGCTGGAAACAAGATAGGCCACATGTAGAATGAAACAAACCCAACACCTTTCACCTCTCACAAAATATGCACTCACACCTGGTAACATACTTGAACCTTAGGTGTGAAAGCTATTAGAAACTACAGGAAAATGTTGGAATACTCTTCAGACATTGCGCCTAGGCAAGATGTTATGAAAAGACCTGAAAGGCAGATCACAACAGCAACAAAAATAACAAATGGGACCCGATCAATTAAAAAGCATCTGCACAGCAAAGAACTGTCAGGCAAACACACACCACAGAAGGAGAAATTGTCAACAAGTACATATCTGATAAAGAGCTGATAACTAGATCTATTTAGACACTGCAGAAAGTCAGCAAGAAATCAACAACCCTATCACTATCAAAAAGTGGGCAAAGGACATGAACAGAAACTTCTCAAAAGAAGACAGGGTAATGGCCAACAAACATATGAATAAATGCTCAACATCTCTAATCATCAGGGAAATGCAAATCAAAACCACAATGAGATTATCACTTATCTCCAGTGAGAATGGCCTTTATTAACAAGTCCCAAAACAATAAATATTCCCGTGGATGTGTAGAGATAGGAACACTCCTACATTGCTGGTGGGACTGCAAACTAGTTCAACTTCTGTGGAAAGCAATATGGAGATACCCTAAAGCAATACAAGTGGATCTACCATTTGATGCAGCAATCCCATTACTGGACATCTACACAAAACATTAAAAGTCACTCTGTGAAAAAGACACCTTCACTCGAATGTTTATAGCTGCACAATTCACAGTTGCAAAGATGTGGAAACAACCGAAGTGCCCATGAACACATGAGTGGATTAATAAAATGTGGTATATGTATACCATGGAGTACTATTCAGCTATAAGAAACCACGGTGATATAGTACCTAAGTTTCAACTTAGTTCTTTTAGCCCCTGAGTTCTCAATGTGAGACACCCAGCAGATGCCTCTCAAACAAGATTTTCTTGGTCCCAAGTCATCACAGAACACTGGCAGGTCCTGGTTCAGCTCCCTCCCCTCCCTCTATTTTCCTAGCCACATTGCACTTCTCCAAAACGCCTTGACCTTTGCTGAGCATGTTTTAATTTCTAACAAAAATAAGTCTCTAGCAGATGGGGATATTTTTAATTGAATCGTATAAGCCAAGAGCTGCAGGATAAAACCAGGGTTCCTACTTCAAACTACCCTACAAGGTTTTTTGCTTTTAAATCAAACCACAAAATAATTATATTTCAACATGAAATGAAGATGAACAATGTGAAAAACAATCTCACCACTAATCAAACTGAGCAACTTAGCAGTCATGAAATGGTTGTACTGAGTGTTTTGTTTTGAACTGCCTAGAATGGAAAAGGGAGGCTCTAGGGTTAAGTAAGAGACTCTCTTGTTATCACAAAGGCCAACCAAACCAAATTTCTACATTGTCAAATTTCTCAATTATTAGCATGTGTAAGACGTGGCACAAATGAGGAAATGCAGTCACTCCCTGTCTTCAGGAGGTCTGTAACCTCACTAGAAGGTAAGGTATCCATTTCACACGTGCTTCTCCAGATCCACTAAAGACCTACGGTAAGACCATGTGTACTGATTTGATGAATTGACAATCTCTTAGCACTGAACATGTGTACAAAGAAAATAAATGTTTTAGTTAGGTGAAGCTATCAGGGCAGGCTTCCTGAGGGAGGTTGGGCTTCAACTGCCCTGGGCTAAGAAGAAGTAGGAAAGAGAATGGAGAATTCATTCTCCGGTGGTCTGGTGGCATCCTGGTTTCTCGGGCACAGAGTCTCAGTTGGAAATGCCTGGGTAGAGAGACAGGCTATGAAGCCATCAGCACCCAGCCCACACTCTCACTACTGAGAGCTGTGCCACCAGGGCAGGAGCAGCAAATAAGACAATGCCTACCTTTCCAGCTCCCAGAAAACAGTGTGCTAAGCTTCCTACACAAAATGCCCCTCCAACAAACTGCACATTGTCAAGGTGCAGGATACTGTAGAGAATGCTGGGAGACTAGAGTGTGGACCAGGCTTATGGTGTCATCTCCAATGGACATTGGTGAAGCCAGCACCAGTTTGGAGGAGATTGAGGGATGAGGCATGCTGGGCAGTTCAATGAGCCAGGCAGGCTCCCAGGGCTGAGCTGTCCTTGGCCTCCCTGATGCCCCACCCCTCACTGACAGACTAGGCATGATCCATGGAACTGGGCAACAATGTTCTAGAATAACAACAAACCCTATGCTACATTGCCTTCCCATCAGAGCTGTGTGAAAGGTGCTGGGAGAGCTGTCTTCCCTGATGCTTGCTTCTGTGCAGTCCAGCCATCCCCCCACTTCTTGCAGCCCCTCCACCCCCCGCCCAGTGCTCCAATAGCTCAGTGACTTCTCACCATCCCAAGCCCAAATTTCTCTGCTTCACAAACCTAGTAGTCTCCACTCATAAATCTCTTCTCCTGCTCTTCCAATACATCTCTATGTCATCTTGGACTCTTCTACTCCGCTAGGTTGCAGAGGCTCATGTCCACCTTGGGGTGGCTTCTTCCCATTGTTTCCACCATCTAAAACACCTGCTCCCTTCCCTCCCTCCTATGTCCTGGAGTGGGAAGGGCTGCTAAAAGCCAGGCTCCAGCTCTCCAATCCTGCCTTGATCTTTCTGGGACCAGCCCCCATCCTGAAGCTACCTAGGGGCCCCTAGCCATTAGCCTATCCATTAACATACAAAAAGACATCACTTTGGTGATTCTAAGAATTTTAGGAATTGTATCCTAGGAAACAGGGTTGAAGATCAAACATATATATTTTGCATTATCACAACTACATTAATCAAGACAGTGTGATCCTGGCAGAAAGGTAGACATATAGGCCAATCAAACAGAATTGAGACTCTAGAGACAAACTTTTGCATTATTGGTGAATAGATTTTTGACAAATGTACCAAAGCAGTTCAATGTGGGGAAAAGATAGTCTTTCCAACAAAAATGCTGGCCTAATTGGATATGCACATGTAAGAAGGATGAGGTTAGTCACTTTTCATCATACATAAAAATCAAGTCAAGAAAGATCATTGACTTAAACATAAGAGCTAAAACTATAAATCTCTTGGTTTAGGATGTATATATAGGGGCAAAGGGAAAACTTCCCTATCACTCTCTGAAGCTTCACTGAAAATCACTGGCAAAAGGCAGATAAATAGGAGAAAAAGCATAGAAATTTATTTGATCATAGTTTTAAGTGACATGAAAGCCTTCAGAATGTAGACCCAAAGATACAAAGGAAACTTCATTTTTATGCATGAGTTCAGCAAAGTGTGGACAGCTGTGTAAAAACATGATTGGACAAAAAGGATTGGCTCTAATGCCAATACACTGAGTGGGGAGACCCAGCAAGGCCTGTTTGGCTTCTTCTCGTCCTCTCCGTGCAGCATTCCTTCCTTCTGGATATGGGGCAGGACCTTCGCTGGAATGGGGGTTTTATGGCCTACAATCTAGGCAGGTTGGATAATTTCTTTATGGGAAGTTTTTACATAGAAAGTTTGGAGAAAAAAATATTTTTAGGCTTTTTGGCTGGCATTGGGGAAAAGGGGTTCTGGTTTGTATGACCTGCCTCGGGGAAGGGGATTCTCATTTCTATGCTAGTCTTGGAGGACAATGAAGGACCAGAGATAGGAGAGTAGGAGAAGTTCAGAGAGAGCTGCTTCTGAGGCCTTCATTTTGGGGTATCATTTTGTGAGACATTACAAGGCAGTCATTTCTTAGATACGGCATCAGAACTATAAGTGATAAAGAAAAATATTAACAAATTGGCGTTCATCCAAATCAAAACCATTTATATTTCAAAAGATACTATTTAGAAAGTCACAGACTAGGAGAAACTATTTACAAATCAAGTATTCAATACAGGATTGCATCCAGAATATATAAGGGATTCTAATAAGCCAATAATAGAACAAACAGTTAAAAATGATCAAAATATTTGAATGATCAAGGAATTGAAAAAACAAATCATTGAATGGCAGAAAATATTTACAGATCACATATTTAATAAGGGACTTGTATCTTGAATATATAAAGGACTCTTACAATTCAATAATAAACAGATATTTCAAGAGTAGGTATATTCATTTGCTAGGGCTGCCATAATAATGCACCACAAACTGAATGACATAAACAACAGAAATTTATTTTCTTACAACTCTGGAAACTAGAAGGTCGAAATTAACATGTGGCAGAGTTGGCTTCTTTTGAGGTCTCTCTTCTTGGCTTATAGATGTTCATCTTCTCCCTGTGTCTTCATGTGGTCTTTCTTCTCAGTAAATGTGTCCTCATCTCTTCTTATAGGGCCAGTAGTTGTATTGGATTAGGATCCACCCAAATGACCTAATTTTAGGTTAACCACCTTTTTAAAGGACCTATCTCAAAATATGATCACATTTTGAGATACTGGAGATTAGAATTTCAAAATAAAAATTGAGGGGGACAAAATTAAGCCCATAATAATGGGCAAAGGATCTGGATAGACATTTCTCCAAAGAAGACATACAAATTGCTAATAAACACGTGACAAGATGTTCAGCATCAGTAGGCATCAGGGAAATGTCAATCAAAACCACAATGAGCTCCCACTCCACGCGCACTAGGATGCTATAATCAAAAGACATAATAATAAGTGTCGGTGAGGATACAGAGGAATTGGAGCTGCCATACATTGCTGGTGAGAATGTAAAATGGTCTATCCCTTTTGGAAAATGGTCTAGTGGTTCCTCAAAAGGTAAAATACACAGTTACCACATAACTCAGAAATTCCAGTCTCAGGTATATACCGGAGAAAATGAAAGCTTCCACCCTCCTGAAAACTTGCGCACATGTTTATAGCAGCATTATTCATAATAGCTACTAAGTAAAAGCAACCCAAATGTCCACCAACTGGTGAATGGGTAAGTAAAGTGTTGTCCACCCATACAATGGAATCTTATTCAGCAATAAAAGGAATGAAGTGCTGATACACGCTACAACATGGGGTTACCTTGAAAACATTCCACTAAATGACGGAAGCCAGTCACAAAAGACCACGTATCATGTGATTGCATTTATATGAAATATCCCCAAAAGGCAAATATATAGACAGAAAGTAGGTTGATGGTTGCCAAGGGATGGAGGATGGAGGGTAGGGGAATGCAGAGTAACTGGTAGTGGGTACTGGGTTTCTTTTTGGAGTAATGAAATGTTTTAAAATTTATTTTAGCAGTGATGTGGTGTGGTGATTTATAGTTCTGAACATATGAAAAACCACTGTATTATGTACTCGAAACAGGTGAATTTTGTAGTATGTGACATATGTCTCAATAAATCTGTATAGAAAAAGTTATAAAAGGACATTTTACCAACGAATTTACAGTCATGTGTCACTCACTGACAGGGATATGTTCTGAGAAACGCATTGTTAGGTGATCTCATCGTGTGAACATCACAGAGTGCACTTGCACAAACCCAGATGCGGTGTATCCTCTGCACACCGCCTGCCTGGCGCAGCCCGTTGCTCCCAGGCCACATATCTGCACAGCGTGTCACTGTGCTGAATACTGTAGGCAGCTGTAACACATGGGAAGGGTTTGTGTATCTAAACATAGAAAAGGTACAGTAAAAATATGGTATTATAATCTTATGGGACCTCTGTCATATCTGTTGTCTGTCATTGAAGTTATGTGGCCCATGACTGTATATGAAAATTCAATAAGCACATGAAAACATCCTTAGATAATAGGGAAATGGAAATTAAAACGCAATGGATGCTACTTCATGCCCTAAGGAATGTCTGCAATCAAAAAGACAGTCAATAACAAGTGTTGAGAGAGAATATGGAGAAACTGGGCCCTCATACATTGTTGGTGGGAATGTAAAATGACATCTTCACAACACTTTTCCAGTTTCTTAAAATGTTAGACATAGTTTTACCATATGACCCACTGATTCTACTCTCAGGTACACCCAGGAGAAATTAAAATGTATGTCCACATAAAGATTTGCATGTGAATATTCATAGCATCATTTTCCATAATAGCCAAAAAGTGGAAACAACTCAAATGTCCATCAACTAGTAATTGGACAAACAATATGTGCTCTATCCATTCAATGGATACTGTTCAACAATAGAAGGAATGAAGTAGTGATGCATGCTACGGTATGAACGGACCTTGAAATCATTACACTAGGTGAAAGAAGCCATATATTGTATATTTACGTTTATATGAAATGCCCAGAAAAGGCAACTCTATAGAAGCAGATATTGGGTTCATGGTTCCATGGAGCAGAGGGCAGTGAGGTGGGTGACTGCAAATGGAAATGAGCTTTGCTGTTGGTGCGGTAGAAACGTTCTAACATTAGATTGTGGTGATGGTTGCTCAACTCTGTAAGTGTTCTAAAAATAATTGAATCATACACTTAAAATGAGTGAATATTATTGTATATAAACTATATCTCAGTAAAGCTGTCTTAAAAAATGACCAAGAGGTTTGGGAGTCGGGCTGTTGGCGGGTGCGTGGTGACTGGAACGAGGGCCACGTGACAGGAGCTGGTGAGGAGCAGCCAGAGCAGCAGGAGCAGTGAACGTTGGGTGCGGCTGACGAATTGCTGGAGGCAGTGAGGTGCAAAGACAGGAGCTGATAATCGGAAAATGGGATGATTGAAGTTGAGTTCATTGTTGGATTGATAATGAAAAATTTAAAAATGTAATCATGGATGGCAGTGAGTGGCTCTGGTTGCATAGAGAGGAAGATCATTGGAAGTAAGGAGGGAAAGTGACTAAAGGATCGTTTATGATGATGCCAAGAGTTACAACAGTAGTCCTGGAGTGAGTGGTAATGACAGGGGAACTAAAATCTTCAGGGAACACCCCAGCGGAGAGATGACTGCTACAAAGATGAGTAATAAGTCCAGTAGCGTTAAGACAGGAGATTCACAGGTGGAGTTAAGAGGGAGAGGGTATTGTCTTGAAGCAGGAAGAGATAGGATCAGAACAGGTTATAGTTGGATTATATATCTATAGAGGCAAAACCCCAAAAAACAACCTGAATGGTTTTGGTACTAGTCAAACAAGTTCTAGTACATCTGCAGCTTGTATTGAATGTGATGTATTGTTATAGTAGCAATCTAAGAGGAAGGTAAAGCTGGTCAGCTGAGTGGCCTGAGAACATATTAATAAAAGGAACATAATCAGTAAAATCAGAAAAAAACAGGCAAGTTGGCCAGAACTTTTAGAAAGAGATATAAATTAGAGAGCAAGCAAAATTATGGAGTGCTTGCCTTTAATGAAAGGAATGAGGCTCTCCAAGAGTAAGGTGAGATCCAGCACTGCAGAAATAAAAGTCCTGGTGACAGCCAGACTGTACACATTCCATTCTGCCACTGAGTCCCTGATGCCATGGCAATGACATCATAATGACCCCAGTGCAAGTGAAGTGATCCGGTGAACTAGAGCTTGCTGAAAGGTGTGGACGGGAGCTTGACGGAGGCTTGCGTCCATGATAAAAGGCAAGATTAAAGTGTTCGTTTGAATCTGTAAGTGTGGGCCCTCTTTGGTAAGGTTTACTTGTGCTCCTGGCTCTGATTTGAAGTCAAAATTAGGTAAGAAATCATGTATTTACTTATTCGTCCATGTTGACCATTCTATTCAACTGCAGGATTGATTCTTGAATAGAAACTCCGGCACTCAGGAACTCAGTGTGGAAGAGGAGGGCGTGCACTGTCTTGATGCCCCGTGTAGAGGGTAGGGTAACCTAGGCCGCTGCTGCTGGGAATTTTCTTCCCACTCTTTTCATTATCCTGAAGGGAGCTTTGGGCCTGCCTGGAGAGGCTAGTAGTGCCGAGAGTCAGATTGTACAGCCGGTGAGAAGAGTGGGCTATTGGCTCTTCAAAACACAGATTGCTGTCTCTCCCTCCCATCCTGCTGCCTGTCCTCAGTTTCTGATTCAGTAGGTCTGGGACAGGACTTTATAATTTGAATTCTAAGTTCTCAGGTGACACTGACGTCCTTGAACCATACTTTGAGCAGCACCAGGTTAGATTTCTATGTATTTCTGCAGAAGGATGTTTTTAATACTGTGGCAAACGCGCCCTAAGTGTTATGGGTTCAATTGTGTCCTCCAAAGAGATAAGATGAAGTCCTAACTGCCAGTGCCTCACACCATGACCTATTTGGAAATAGGGTCTTTGAAGATGTAATTGTAATAGTTAAGATGAGGTTATACTGGAGTAGGCAAGGAAGCCAGGCAAGGAAGGACTCTCCCTGTCAGGTTTCAGAGTGCATGTGGCCCTGCTGACACCTTGATTTTGGACTTCCAACCTTCAGAGCTTTAAGATATTTTTCTGTTTTTTTTTTTTTTTTTTTGAGACAGAGTCTCACTCTGTTGCCCAGGCTAGAGTGAGTGCCGTGGCGTCAACCTAGCTCACAGCAACCTCAAACTCCTGGGCTCAAGCAATCCTCCTGCCTCAGCCTCCCGAGTAGCTGGGACTGCAGGCATGCGCCACCATGCTGGCTAATTTTTTCTCTATATATTAGCTGGCTAATTAATTTCTCTCTATTTATAGTAGAGATGGGGTCTCACTCTTGCTCAGGCTGGTTTGAACTCCTGACCTTGAGCAATCTGCCCGCCTCGGCCTCCCAGAGTGCTAGGAATATAGGCGTGAGCCACCACGCCCGGCTTTTCTATTGTTTTAAGCCACCAGTTTGTGGTACGTTTTTTACAGTGGCCCTAGAAAACTAGTACACTAAGGTTACTCCCAGTGAGTCATGCCCTGTGCTGTCCACTCCTTCTGAGTGTGGGTACAACCTGAGACTTGCTTCTCACGTGGCTGGGGTGGTGGAATGTCACTCCTGTGACTATGTTATGTTGCATAAGACTTTTCCTGGCAGATAGGAAAGATAGATTCTTCTGCTGGACTTAAAGAAGCAAACTGCTGTGTGGTGGTAGAGAACTTCAGGTGGCCCTGGCACCTCAGGACAAATGTCATCCAACAGCCAATAAGAAACTGGGACTCTCAATTATACAACCACAAGGAAATGCATGCTGCCACCACCTGAACGGGCTGAGGAGGAGATCTTCTCTTGCTGAGACTCCCATGTGAACATGGCTTGGTTGACACCTTGAGTGCAGTCTGGTGAGACCCTGAGCAGAGTTCCCAGCAAGGCCACTCCTGAACTTCAGAAACGTGGGAACTGTGAGAACATAAATATATGTTATTCAAATCACTAAGTTTGTAGTAATAGATATGTTATTAAATAAAGTGTAAAGATAGATATATTTATTAACTTAAAAAGAAACACTAAGCAGCCAAGAAGTGGGTATAGAGTGATCCCTTTTTTTGTTTTCCAAAAAGAATGAAAGAAGAAAATACATCCAAGTTCTGTGGTTTGACATATTTGCATGAGCATAAAGGTACATAAGTGTACGTACCCAACAGTATGTGTGGAGAGGTGACTGTGATAACACTGGGGGATTGGAGGAGGGGAGCTTATTGACTTTTCCTCGTATTCTTCTTTGGATGTGGTGAGAAACATATTTACCTTTAATAGGAAAGTCAGATAAAGTATATTAAAGGTAAAATTAATGTATGTTTATTGTGGAAAAATGGAAACAAGGAAGGAAATGAAAATCAATCTTGAGTGTCTCTCCAGAAGATAAACACTACATAATCCTTGCTTGTAACATTCTTCCTTTTGAAAAGTATACTGAATAATATATAATATATATGTAATATTTTATATACACAACACACATAACACAATCAATGTAAATTATTGAATATGGGAGTTGGGTTGTGTGCTGTTTATGGACTTTAACAAAAGCATCATCCCAGTTTGTGTTCACTCCTAGAGCCCATGTGGGGTTGATGGAAGTATTAATAATATTCCCAGTGTTGAACATTTTGCTGCTGGTGCTCCTGAATTTTTGCACACTTTTGTATTTGTTTCCTTTCCTTTCTGAATTCTCTGTTTCTATGCATGCGCCACCACCCTGTCTAAGGACTCTTAGGATCTGTGCTCACTGACGGAGTTAGGCTAAATCTCCAGCCCGTGGTCGGGGAGATCCAGGGCACTTTTCTGGGTCTCACTTGTCACCACCTTTTATTTCCCCAGGAAAATCTGATTATGGGGTTCGTTAGTTTGTTTAAAAGAAAGTCTGCTTAGGTTTAATCTATCACTTTCAAGTCTAATGAGCTCTGGAAATGTTTTTTAATGGAAAAAATTTTAATGTAAAAAAATTAAATGTACATATCCTTAATTTAGCAATTCTAAGAATATATTTTACAGAACTGTTCACATTTACATGCAGAGATACCTACACAGATGTTCCCTGCAGCATTGTTTGCAATAGTAAACATTTAGAAACTAATATCAGTCAGTAGCAAAACTTATAAATAAATTATGGTCCATATATTAAAAATTCAGGTAGATCTAGATGAAGTAATGTAGAAAGAAATCCAGGATAGTCTTCAGGGAAAAAGTAAAGATGTAGATCATTAAGTGTGGCTCAATCCCATTAAAGAAATAAACCATACGCATACCTCCAGTGGGGTCCCTTTCCCCTTCCCCTTTAGAGTATAATTGCTCTAAATATCGCCTCTACACACACTGAGAACCACATCAGACAATGTTATAATTTTTGCTTCAGTTACCTAACATAGTATAGAAAATGTAAAAGGAAAAGGATAATCTATTATATCTACCTACGTTTGTACTCTTTCTGTTTTTATTTCTTCCTTCCTCATGCTTCAGATTTTTTTCCTTTATCATTTTTTCTATTTGAAGAACTTCTTTTAGCCATTTTCTTAGGGTAGGTCAGCTGCTGACAAATTCTCCTAGTTTTCTTTTTTCTGAAAGAAATGATTGGTTTCCCCCTAAAGTCCTCCTTCATTCTTGAAAGATATTTTCACTGGTATAAAATTGTGGTTTGAGAGTTCTTTTCTTCCAGCACTTGAAAAATGTGAGCCAATTCTTTCTGGTCCCCATGATTTCTGGTGCAAAATCCATTGTTATTATTAAATCATTGATTCTCTATAGATGATGTTTTGTTTCTCTCTAGCTGATTTCAAGTTTCTTTTTCTTTGTGTTTTATTTTCTGGTTTATGATGTGTCTTGCCATGCATTTCTTTGGGTGTATCATGTTTGAGGTTTGCTCAGCTTCTTGACTCTGGAGGTTTTGTGCCTTTCACCAAATTTGGGCAATTTTCAGTATTAATTCTTCAAATATTTTTTCAGCCTTACTCTTTTCTCCCCTTCTTCTGAAACATCAATGATACTAGTGTTAGCTCTTTTGTTATTATCCTACAGGTCCCCAAGACTCTGTTCATTTCTCTTCAGTCTATTTTCTCTCCGTCATTCAGATTGGGTAATTTCTATTTTTCTATCTTCAAATGTATTGATTCTTTTTTGTGCCATATTCATGCTGCTATTGAGCCCATGTAGTAAGTTTTAAATTTATTTTATTTTTCAGTTCTAAAATTACCAGTTGATTCTTCTTTATTCATCACCTGTGTGACCCACACAGATTATTTAAGCTCTCTAGACTTTAGTTTCCTGATAATTATAGTTAGTACTTATCCAAGAAGTTGGCTGTGAGAGCTCAAGGATATAAAGCTTAGTGTGTAGCAAAAAGTGAACATTTTGTAAATATTGGCTCTCTTTTAAAAATTATTTTTCTACAAATAAATTAATGTCAAATATTTCTGGCTTTCTGGTGTGTTTGGTTTTTATTGTATGGGGGTCAGTCCACCTTACAGGCCCACTGATACTGATAATGAAAGTCAGTGGGAAGACAGAGTCTCATTTCACTAGGCAAAATTCTACACATCAGTGAAATTTGTTCACTCAGTCTTAACTTAAAAAAAAGTATTGGGTACATTAGGAACTTTAGCCTAACATCTTAATCTAACATTTTGATATTTAATGATTTGTTCTAAATATATTTCATGTATTAGACATACTTATATAAATAAATATACATCATCTATACTGTATAAATATGTAAGTGGATGTGGGTATATATGTATATACACATACATGTAGTTGATTCTCATCATTCACAGCAGTTATGTTCTATAGTCTCTGTGAACATTGATTTAGAAACTACTGAATCATTGTTCCTAGGAGAAGTACAGGATTAGATTCCTACAAGCTTCTAGTCACAATGTTTTCATCAGCTGATCAACATATAACCTTGTTTTATGTACATTTCTGTTTAAAGATACCTTATTTAATATATATTGCTGATTCATTAACATTGACAAATGTATAACTCATGCCTGAACAAAGGTTGTATAACACATGAGTTTTCTCTTCAAGGCATATCACAGCCTCTTATGCTTGGGAACAGTAGACAGTACCTCAACACTATATTTGAGGTTATTTTAAACAACAAAATCATCAACAAAAGGCACAAAACTGTGAAAAACACAGCACTAAAGATAACATGAAAAGGATACTTGTTTACAGTATGAGAAATGAAACAGGTGGCAGAATGACACTTTGACCTCAGTTGGGAATATAAGTGTCACACGACTCAAATTTTCTCTGTCCTGTGCATGTCTGTGAGTGACCACAAAAGCACAGTGAGTACTGATTTTGGGGTTACAAGTAAATTTTAGCAAGTAGTCATATTTGCAAATATGGAATTCATGGATAATGATGATCAGCTGTATACACACACATAAACACACATTTCCTTAATGGTGGAAATTCCAGGTAGACAAAACAGATTTTTGTCTTATTTGGAAGTACAATATGGTGCTATATTGGGGAGAAAATTTAGATTTTTGTAAGGCATATTAATTTTACAAACCACATTTTATCATGATGTATTTTTTTAATATATTATTTGACTCAAGTTGCTAAAATATTAAGTATTTTTGTGTCTGTATTCATGAGATAAGTTGGTCTATAGTTTTCTTTTTGTGTGTGTGATGTCTTTGGTTTGGGGGCCAAAGTAATACTAAGATAATGAAGTGATTTGGGGCATATTATCTTCCTTTTTATTTTCTGAAAAAATATGTAGGAATTGTATCATTTTTTACTAAAATGTTTAATAGGCTTTATCAGTAAAGCCATTTTAGCCTGGATTTTTCTTTTGTGAAGTCATTTAATTACAAATTGAGTTTCTTTAAGGGATATAGGGCTACCTAAATTTTCTATTTCTTTTTGTGTCAGTTTGGCAAATTGTATTCTTTAAAGAATTTGCCCATTTCATTTATATTGTTGAATTTATTGACATAACATTGTTCATAGTATACTTTCGCTATTTAATATCGACATAATTTGTAGTGATATCTTTTCTTATATTCTTTATATTTGTAATTTGTGTTTTTCTCCTTTTTTCTTGATTAGTCTTGCTAGAGTTTATCAGTTTTATTAATCTTTCCAAATAGCTAACTTCTGCTTTGTTGGTATTCAGTTTCATTGATTTCTTCTATTTTGATTTGTTTTTTTATTTTGCTCTGATTAATTCTTTTTCTAGTGCTTTAAATGGGTAACAGATCAGTGATTTTATGTTTTTTCAAAAACTCTAGGCATTTTAAAACTACAAAATTCCCCTAAAGAGCTGTGCTAGCTGCATCGTCAAAATTTTGACATGTATTTATGTTATCATTCAGTTCAAAATACTTTCTAATTTCTTTGTGATTTATTCATTGCATTGAGTTATTTAGGAGTGGATAGTTTAATTTCCAAACAATTGGAGGTATTTTCTAGATATTTTATTATTACTATTGATTTCTAATTTCATACCGTAGTGGCTAGAGAATATACTCTGTATGATTTAAGTCTTTGTATTGTGGCCCAGCATATCATCTATCTTGGTGAAGGTTGCTTTTACACTGGAGAAGAATGTCTACTCTGTTTTTGGTGAGTGTAGTGTCTCATAAATGTCAATGACACAAAGTTGATTGGTAGTGTTATTCAAATTTTCCATATTCTGACTGATTTTTTCCTACTTGTTTTACCAGTTATTGAGAGAGGGATGTCAACATCTCCAACTATGATTTTGATGGTGTCTATATTTCTGTTGTTCTCTCAATTTTTGCTTTATGCATTTGTGACCTGTGATATTGTGAATTATATATTTGGTCTTCATCCTGTTTCCTGACATATAGTCCTATAATCCTTGGAATCTCCTGAGTGATGAGTGGTTTTGTATGCTAATGAGATGACTGATGGCTGGAGGCCCCTAGATAGCTTCAGGATGGGACTGGTCACTATAAAGACCAAGGCAGGATTAGAGGGTGGGACTTTCAGCACCATCCACCCTCAACCTCCAGGGAGGGGAGAGGGGCTGAAGGTTAAGTTGATCATTATTGGCCAGTGATATATTTTGACCTATTTACTCTTACTCATTCCTTTCTTATAGAACCATAAGTCTTAGATTATATATATGTGTGTGTGTGTATGTATATATACACACACATCTGAGATTCTGAGGTTTTATATATATACACACACACACATATAATCTATACCATGCCTCTATTTTGTCAAAGAGAATGTTTATTTTTAAACCTTAAGCTTTCTGGTGTATCATAAATGACAATTTCCTGTTTTGATTTAACCAGTGAGATAAAATCAAGTTGCTTCCCCAAATATTTCCTTTTTTTTTTTCAAAAGCTTATCCTTAAAAATATATATTTTAATATACAATATATAAAATATATATAATTTGTTATATTATTGCTGCTACAAATTACCTGAAAACATAGTGGTATACAACCATGAAGTTTCATTTTTCTCATGATTTTGTATGTTAGGAATTAGGTAAGAAAGTCACACTTTTGGGTCTCTCATGTGGTTTTGCTCAGATGTCAGCTGGGTCTGCAGTCATCTGAAGGTTCTGTTGGACTGAGCACCTGCAATGACTCACTCACATGGCTGGGAGTTGATGCTGGCTGTTTACTGGGAGCTCAGCTGAAGCACTTATATGCAGCTTGTCCATCAGAGTGGTTTCAGGATAGTTCGACTTTTTACATGGTGGTGGTTTCCAAAATTCCCAAGAGAACTAGGCAGAAGCTTCTCAGACCTTTGAAGGGCTTTTCAGAACTATCCTTGGTAGTCATGTGGCATCATGTCTGTTGTGTTCTATTGTTTGTAGCAGTCACAGCCTGATTCAAGGGGAGGTGACATAGATCCCATCTTTTCATGGGATGAGTGCCCAAGAACTTGTGGGAAATATTTTTATACTGCCTTATGGTTACTGAAATATACTTTACATATAATTCAATACATAGATCTTAAGTGTTGAGTTCAATGAATTTTGACAGTTGTTCAAACCCATGCATCTACCACCTGGTGTAAGGTATACAACATTTTTTCACGCTATAAAGTCCTCTCGTGTCCCATTCAAGTCAATCTTCATACATAGTTTTTCCTGTTCTGTGAAGTCACATAAATGGAATTATATGCTGTGTGTGTGTGTGTGTGTGTGTGTGTTTGTGTGTGTTTGGCTTCTTTCACTCAACATGAGGCTCTCAGATTCATCTATATTGTTGCATGTATCAGTTGTTTGTTCTTTTTTATTGTTGAGTTGTATTTCATTGTATGAATATACCATAATTTGTTTATTCTTCATCTATTGTTTGACATTTGAATTATTTCCAGTGAGTGGCTATTATAAATGAGGATGAGATGAACATTCTTGTATAAATCTTGAAATGTTATTAGAGTTTTCTGGGAGTAATATTTTGTTATTATTCATATACATAGTGTTTCCAAATTGTTTTTATGCTCAAAGATCGTTGATATTATTTAATTCTCTAGATGATAAAGATTGGCTATCATAAACTGTTTAAGATTAAAGAACATACACATACAGTTTATAGGATCTACTAGAAAGAATGGAATGGTGCCTTCTCAAGAAGACCACACATCTACATCATTTATCATTTCAATTATATAGATGCCAGGTGTCTAAGATAAAAAAAGAAAAAACAGAAATTTCCCCTCAAAGCCAACTTCTCCTCTCCAACTGTCTTTGAACCTGATCCTCAGAAGTTAAAAGAAAATTAGAGTGGGTTCTATTTCTTTCTGCATGTGTGTAAGAAGAAGATAGTGTTGTTGGTAAGTGGAACTTCATTATTGATTACAAACTACAAGTCAGTAATATGAACACTTATATGTCCTTTCCAGGTGACTCCAGCCCCAAGATATTGCTACTGTTGCCAAAGAGGAAGTGAAGGTCATTGTGTCTGTCAGAAAGTAGGTGTCCCTTCTATAGAAGGCGTAATAGGTTTAGGATTCTTAAAAAAAAGACACAGCTAGTAGTCATCTGCCCTTTGGCTGTAGGGGAATTATCTCTATCCCAGTTAGGAATATGGGTCTGAAATATACCTAAATGCACAAACTCCAAACCTTTGCAGGCTTGGAATGGAATCTTTTGTAAGAAAAAGCTAGACCCTTTGGAATGGACATGAGTAATTTGTTAGAATAGGTTATTGGGGATATCATGCAGGTAACAAAATGTTCAGTAAGAAGATTATTAAAGTAATTAGATTTGCCTATTAAAGTAATTGGATTCTGCCTAGTGTTCTTGAATGTAAAACAAGATTAATTTGAATATGTGGGGAAGAAAAGAAACTTGGGATTGATAAGTGGCTGACTTTTTTTTTTTTAAAGACTGATGGTGTCATTTACAAATTTAAAATCTGTATCTGCCACACACAGAAGAATCTCTAGTGTGGCACTAGATTAATGGGGGTAGCGTGGGAAACTAGGTCAAAATAAACTGACAGAAATTACAGAACATACATGATAATGATAATAAACAAGACATTTATTGTTCTTATTCATTTAGGGGAAAGGAGAAAAGTCAATTTGCTTACTCAGTGATGGTCTTTCTGAAAGATTCTCCATTCATTCCATAGAGTCAGACAGTTTGCTTGGTCTCAAGAGGATTTTGTACCTTTGATTCATAAAGAGAACTTCCTTTGGAGAGAACAGTCAAAGGGTGAGCCTTTGTGAGCAGCTTCGCTGGTGCACAGCCAGACTCCCTCTCTGAGTAAAGCTTTTCCCACACTGGCCACACAGATATGGCGTCTCTCCTGTGTGGATTTTGCCATGTAGAATACAATTCCCCCTAGTGTGGAAACTCTTCCTGCACTGGGTACAGGCATAGGGCTTCAGGCCTGTGTGGACTCTGATGTGAACAATTAAGCTTCCTTTCTGACTGAAGGCTTTTCCACACTGATCACATCTATAGGGCTTCTCGCCACTGTGAACTCTTCTGTGAACAGCAAGGTTACTTTGATTCCTGAAGCTCCTCTGACAAATAGCACACTCATAGGGTTTCTGTCCAGTGTGGAGTCTCTCATGGACGGCTAGACTACCTCGCTGACTGAAGCTTTTCCCACACTCCTTGCACTGATAGGGCTTCTCTCCTGTGTGTATTCGCTGATGTGTAACAAGATTACCTTTGGCCCTGAAGCTTTTCCCACAGTGAGTACACTCAAAAGGTTTTTGACCAGTGTGGATTCTCTCATGTAATGTTAGACTACCTTTTTGCCGGAAGGATTTTCCACACTCCTGGCACTCATAGACCTTTTGTCTCACTCCAGGTGGATCTTCCTGCAGTGTCTTAGCATCTGGGGATTTTTGTTCCAGCTTCTCTCTTCTGAAAGAATTCTGGATATCCCAGCTTGAGGATCCTGTGGCCTCAGAATGATCATATTTGTGGTGAGCTTCGGTCATCACATCTGGTAAAATGAGAGGGGAGTCATGTAAGATGCACCAATATGTTGAGTGAGAAGAATAGAGAAAAAAGAAACATAATACTTTCAGTGCTTATTATGTGCCAGGCATTATAATATGTACCATGCATAGATAATTTAATCCTAAAAACAATCCCATGAGATTGCTACAGATAATGAGAACAAAGGGAGGCTGTTAAAGATCACACAGCTAGGTAGGTTAGATTTGGGATTCAAACTCAGGAATGTTCCAGTGCAGTATACTGCCTCTAAGTTTTGTTTTCTTCCTTTTAAAGACAAGAGTCTTGCTCTGTCACCCAAGCTGGAGTTCAATGGCACCTAAGCTGTAGCTCATGATAGCCTTGAACTTTGGGCTCAAGCAATCCTCCCATCTCAGCATTCTGAGTAGCTAGGACTATAGGTGCACACCACCACGCCTTGCTAATTTTTCTAATTTTTTGTAGAGATGGGGTCTCACTAGGTTACCCAGGCTGGTCTCGAACTTGTGGCTTCAAGTAATCCTCCCACCTTGACCTCCAAAGTGCTGGGATTATAGGTGTGAGCCATCATCCCCGGCCTCTAAATTTAATTTAATTAAGCCTCACAAATAATCTTGTGAAGTAGACATGATTATTTATTTATTTATTTTTTGAGACAGAGTCTCGCTTTGTTGCCTAGGCTAGAGCGAGTGCCATGGCGTCAGCCTAGCTCACAGCAACCTCAAGCTCCTGGGCTCAAGCGGTCCTTCTGCCTTAGCCTCCTGAATAGCTGGGACGACAGGCATGCGCCACCATGCCTGGCTGATTTTTTCTATATATATTAGTTGGCCAATTAATTTATTTCTATTTATAGTAGAGATGGGGTCTCACTCTTGCTCAGGCTGGTTTCGAACTCCTGACCTCGAGCAATCTGCCCACCTCAGCCTCCAAGAGTGCTAGGATTACAGGCGTGAGCCACCGCACCCGGCCATGATTATCTCTTTCACAGGTTAAAAAGTAGCCTCAGAAAATTAAGAAGACGATATAGGATCACATACAGCCCCACACCCAAGTTTTATCTGACTCCAAAACAGCTGTGGATCCAGGCTGTGTAGGGCTCAAAGCTTTACAACTTTAGAGGCAACCCTTTAAGAAAATGTATAAAATTAGGTACAGGTCCTTGAAGAGACCAGTGCAAGTGAGGGATCCTGAAGTTTAAGTTGCATTAGCTTCCTAAGAAATCCACCTCTGTCTAGTCTGCTCTCTTGACAGTGGGGTGAGCTCCATGACCTCAGAAAATATGTAGCAGAATCCTTGGTACTTTTTATCTACCATCGCTAATTCCATGCAACCCTACAAGATACAGTTTACTGTCCCATTTTACAGATGAAGAGCCTGGAGCTTAAGGAAGTTAACTTGTCTGATATCACAGATATAGTCAGGATAATTATAGAATCTGATTCAAGGAATTTCTCCCTTTAAAATCAATGCTACTTTCAGTCTACTAAGCTATGGTTGAACTGAAATCAATTTTGGTTTGAAAGTTATTGTCAAACACTTCCTATGCAGATATTGACTATTTTCCAATATTGCCTCTGAGCCTCCTAGTATACTTTAATAAATATGGGACCATTCATGACAGTTTTCTTGGTGTCATCCTAGGGGAATTTTCTCCCTGTTCCATTGCCTTATATATATTCAGTGACAGTGCTAAGATTTAAGCTGTTCATTCATTCTCTCAGAAACTACCTCAAGACTATCTCCCTATCAAGATTGTTCTCTTGCTCTGTTGTTCCTATTATATCTAACTCCAGCTTGTAGGCTTTTCCTGTAACCTCCAGGCACAGTAAGCTCCATCAAAAGAAGGTCTCCCCTGCTTCCTCAGACTGCCGACCAGTGACGTGGACAGGAACACTGAGTATCCATGAGCTGAGGGCATCCCAGCCATCAACCGACTCACTCACTGAAGAATGCTACATTCTGGGCGTATCTTCCGTGACAGTCCAGCAGGGTAGCTGTTGGGAATCCAAACATGTCCACTCCTGCTGTATGACTTCAGTTATCCCCTCTTCATGTGATTCTTCCATGAGCTGTTCCTGAGCACCTGAGGGGCAAATCAAATAAAAACAAACAGGAAAGGGCAGGAGAATTGGTAAGGGGGAAGGATAATGTTAACAGGAGCTCCAGTTTGGGGTACAAGTGAATAAAGGAAATCTGGATTGCCTGATGTAATGTCAGTCACCTGCAATGTCACTGCAACATGGGCCCAAAGGTGCCAGGGCCACACACAAATGAGTCGAGGAGGAAAAAGGAGGTGAGAAAGCAGAGAACACATAAACGCCTATCCTCTTCCTGCCAGGCCCAAGGTAATGGTCACTCCTGTTTGTACTTTGGTCTTGATATGTGATTGGGATCTTCCACTTTCTTCACTCACCTAACCACCTACTATTTTATCCTCCCAGCCCGAGGAATTCAGAATCTAAAACACCAGCACTGTAGCCTTCATGATTGGTTCCATGTTGGAAATAGTTCCAGCTTTCCTCTTCAGTATCCCCATAGGTTAAGGATAAAACAACGGACTTCCTATGTTACTTTTAACAATTCTTAGGAGGCTCCAGACCCAGAACCACCCCCTCTCCTACTCTTGAAGATATGAGAGTACCAGTTCTGAAGAAGTGCAAACACTTGTCAATTCTTGGAAAAGGTAAACCTACTCTGGACTCTAAAACCAAGCCCAAGGCACTACAACTTGGTTAAGTAACTTGCCTAAAGTCCCATAATCTACTGAGTCAAGGGTGGAGCAAAGGTTCAAATCTAATACTTCCTGGATCAAAGCCTATGCTTTCACTCTAGAAAATTCTCTAGTTCTTCATCATTAAAGAGTTGGTGAGGATTCTTATAAAATGGAACAGAAGGTAACAGAATTTGAGCAGACTGAATTACTCTTCCAGGTGCTAGGAAGCCTCTTGTATGTCCACATTATCTTTTTCTGCTATTTTTGAATATTCCTTTTTCAGACCATAATTACTGAATTCTTATACTTTTTTTTTTTGATGTAGTGATTCAATGCATAATCTTCATTTCCGTCTGGTGTGTCCTATCAAAATGCTGGCCTCCTGATTTAATAAGATAGTAGTATGATGCTACATTTCTTTGTTTTGTTAACCTAAATACCTGGTTCTTCTTGACAACTACGCATTCTGCTATATGTTGTGATGACCAGAAGAGCCATTCTGCACTTTCATTTGGAGGACTCCTACTTGGAACACAAGCTACAAAGGAATTCCCTATCAGAGTGTCAGCACTTCACTTGGAAGTTTAAGGTATTCCTGCTCAACAACAGCATATCCACTAAGAATCAGTGGTGAGTACATGGTACCTACTACCCAAGGTTGGAGTGTTGCTGGGCATTCCAGAAAATAGAATTTGGTCAGAACAACTGGGTAGAATTTACAGCTTTGCCTCTTCCCCTGCTGTGAGGTCTTCAACAAATAACAACTGAGCTGTGTCTCCAGTACTTCCTTGATTAATAAAGAGAAGGTGTCATTTTTTTCCTCCCTAGATCACAGCTCTGAGGAATCAATTTCCTGAAGATTTTGGAGAAAGTGTCTTTATGATAGAAAATAATCATTTTACCTTTTAGAAAGGCTATTATATCCTTTGTAAAAAGCTAAGAATTAGGCCTGGAGAGACCTGGATTTTTGCAGTGGCTCCCCCAGTATATGACCTTGGGCAAGTAACTAAACACCCTGACTCAGTTTCCTCGCTTATTTAAGTTAATATCACTATCTTACTGGGTATCTCCCGGGAGCATAATAGAACCAAATGTGTAGGGTCTCTGACACGACCTACATACTTAAGGTGTAAACTCCAGAGTCCTCAGAAGAGGACTAGCGCAGGGTAAACTCCTCAGAAGAGGACTAGCACGGGGCAAACGTTGCCGTCTTGGGAACCTCTTGGGGGACAGTTTCAGGATTTCGGCTTCTGAGCAGGGGGATTTTCCCCAAACACCCCGCTCCAGTCCCTCCCATTCTCCACCCAGAGGGTCTGCCTCTTTTCACCTCCCAGGAGTGCTCGCTCTGTCTTCCCATCCCTCTCCTGAAACCCTCCCTGGGGCCGCGGGGCCACCTGCCCTGGCCCCCCAACCCCCAGTCTCCGGAGTCCCGGGCCTTCGCCTCGCTCTGCCCTGCGGGGGCGGCGCTCCGAGGGGCTCCGGCTTTCGCGCAGACCCTCCCCTTCCTCCTCAGGCCCGCGGGCCCTGCTTCCTGGACCTCAGTACCCCGCTCTCCGGCCCAGAGGACCCTTCTCTGAGGGCCGCCGACCCCTCCTCTCGCGGCCAGCCTCCCTCGGGGCCCAGGCCAGCCAGCCCTGCTTACTGCCCGGGGCCGCAAGCACAAAGCGGCACGCGGAGGACCCGGGGGCGGCGGCCAGACGGTGCAGTGCCGCCTCGCTCGGGCGCACTGACCCGGCCGGCGGTCTCACTCACCGCAGCGGCGCGTGCCCGCAGACAGACAAAGGCCGGCGCCGAGCCCGCAGCAGCACCGGCTCCAGGGGACCTGACTACAACTCCCAGGAGCCCCCCGCGCGTGCCCGCCCGCCGGTCCCGGGACCTCGGCGTCGCTGGCTCCCTGGAGCACTGTGGGAAATGTAGTCCGGCGGCGCGCACAGCGATCAGACGCCGTGAGGCCGGTCAGTGCGAGACCTCAGGCAGCCGTGTGTACTGGGAGCCCGGAGCAGCAAAGCACTGACTTGTCCGCGGACGCAGAGCCGGCCGAGACATGCACGCTGGGGTTAGCAAGACGTGGAATGACAGCATGGTGTAGCAGGCCGCTAAGCCAGGAAATCAGGAATCCAGGGTTATTTATTGCGGGGCGTCATGGAAGGAAACGAAGTCTTGGGGAGAAATCAGTTCGTAAAATCTTGGGTGATTGGAGGTCATGTGTTGAGCCCCTCACTGCACGGAGAAAGACTAAGTGTTCTGTAATTAGGGCTCTGAAGCAGGGAACAAATATTTCAGACAGAGACTGTGGGAACAATTTGAACACCCTTCTGATCCATTTAATAAGAAGTTCCAGCAGAAATAATGGATGAGCGATCAGATTTCGTAATTGCCCTACATTTTCTTGTAGGCTCGACCATCGACTAGTCGAAGACTCTGGGTAGACTTCCTGCCTGCTGAGGAGCCAGGATGGGATCAGGTGACAGACAGCGACAGGAACCAGGTGGAGACGTCTGGGCAGGGCTAGGGTGCTATCTTAAAACTTCAGAGCAAAGGGAGGTGTGAGTGAATGCAGAAAATATTCTGCATGGGCCTATGGATTACGGAGAGAACATAGTATTTCCTAGGATAACAAATTAAATTATTCTTTTTTTTGCTGAAGATGTGGCTGAAGCATTGAGAAACTGTAAGTCCAGAAAGTCACTGGGCACATGGGACAAGAGCCCTCTTTCAAGAGCTCTGTGAAGAGCCACAAGAACACAGGCAGTCAAGTCCTTGGCCCTGTTGTGTGATTATGGGAGAAGATGTGGTTGCTTTTGAACACCCACCAGATAAAGGCTCTTTCAAATGCACCTTTATAGGACCTGGGCCTCATCCTGGAGCTGTCTTGCCTGGTGTAGGTTCTCCCCGGATTCCTGCTTCTACAGCTCCCGCTCAGTGGGCTTGTTCCTCCTCACGAGTGAAACTCTTCATAAGGAACATTTCCTCTTGCTGTGTCCTCGTTCTCTGCCTAACAGCCACACATCTGTTACAAAACAAAACAGAACAAAAGATTTAATATCATAAAATATACAAAAGTGTCATGTAAGTAATAAGTTGATTCCTAAGCGTTATTGCTATTACTAATAATACATAGTCTGTTAGTTTCAATATACGTGTGTCAAGCCCATTTTAAGTGTTGAGTGCTGTGCTGAGTGTTGGTTCATAAATGTGAACAAGACATGCTCACTCACAGTCTAGTGGAGAAGGCAAACACGCCATCTTCCTCAGACTGGGCTCAGCAGTGATCGATTGCACGGCCGAGTTGAGAGGGTGCGGTGCAATCTGCCCTGAAGCTCCCCACCCCCACAGCCCCTCAGTACTGCTGCAGAGCTCCCCACGGTGCTCACAAGAGAAGGGGGGCACCAGGAGGTGGGCACAGTCACTTCTCGCTCTCACTCTACTTCCAAGGTGACTATGCCCTGCTCTCTCTCACTCTACTTGAAGAGCAGCCAGACACTTTTATTTTTATTTTTTATTTTTCAAAGCACAAGCAGCACACAGCAAAGGCCAGGGCTCTGAGCGGAGGAGGCTGTGCCCCCATGCCTGCCTCCAGGACCAGGGGTCATTTCACCTGCAGATAAACAGAACCATGTGCCTTGAAGTCTCTCCAGGATGTGTGGGTTCTGTCAAGATTAGGACCAGCTGTGGACACTGGGAGAAGCTTCTGATCCTGCCATGAAAGTAGATTCTGAAACTTTGGTGGGAAAAGGCGGTATGAAGGGGGACTGTAGTCACGTTTCTCAGATCAATCTGCGTAAATTCCCTTAAGGGTCTCACGAAAGCAGACACGTTGAATGACGAAAGTGGGGGAAAAAGTGGTTACGATTGGGGTTGTTGAGCGGCAGGTGAGACCCAACTCTCCCTGGACAGACACTTACCAGTCTTTGCCCAGGTCCTAAATGGGCCCAGTCCTCACTTACCACCTACCTCTTAAAGCAAATGGTCAACAGGAAGGAGAGTGTGGGGTGAGGGCAAAAGGGAAATCTTTGTCAGCTGTGTAGATTTGAAAAATTGCTAAAGAACTATTTTCCCTCTTCCCAGGCATTTCAGAACTTTGGGGAAAGGACAGATAATTCAATAAATGGTGTCAGGACAAAAGGCCAGACATTTGGAGTCGGGAGGTTAAATGTTTACTCACTTGTGTGCCAAGAGAATTTCCACATGGATTAGATGTAAAATGTAAAATACAGACCCATAAAAGGCCCAGAAGAACATATGGATTAATATTTTTATAATCTTGGCATAGCAAAGGCTTTTCTAACCATGGTAACAAAAGCAGAAACAATAAAGAAAAAAAATTAAAATCCAGCACTTCTGTGTGGCCAAAACCCCACTAAATGAAGTTAACACAGGACCAGCTGGGAAAATATTAGCAACTAACTTATTTAAAGACAACATATAGATCATTGAGAAAAAGACATTTTGGCAGAAATATGGCAAAGGACACCAACTTGCATACACACAAAAAAAAAAAATTGAAGAAAGATACTCAGATGCAGTATTCATTTTTTTAAAATGCCAATTGAAACAAAGAAAATTTCCCCCCTACCTACTGAATGGCCAGATTGCAAAGGGGACAGGGGAAATGGACATCTGCGTCCCTGTGTACATCGAGACAACCATTCTGATTAGACACTGGCAATATGTATCTAAAGTCCTAAAAATGTACATATTATTAATACTTCTAGAGTTTTTTCCTCAGGAAAATCCCCAGATTATTATATACTAAGCGTGGAATGGAAGCTGTGGGGTCCAGGTCTCTGAAGTGGGTTATTGACTCTCAGTTCCCGTGAAGGCAGCGGCTGACCTGAAGCTTCCGTGAGACCGAGAAGCTCAGAGCAAACTCATGCCTTCACCCGCTGCCGTAGTTCTGGACAGGTGCAGCCAGGTGACCTCACCACAGGGACGCCTGAGAAACTGGCCGTTACATCTCAGAGCGCATGCGCACAAACCCGATGGTACAGCCACCGAGGCCACACGCCCACGCAGACGAGACTGTGCTGAATAGCACAGCCCAGGCAGTTGTGACGGTGGGCATTTGTGTATCTAAACAGAAAAGGTACAGTGAAAATAGGACACTATAATTTTGTGGGACCACTGTCGTATGTGCAGTCCATCATTGAAACAGCGTTACACGATGCATGACTGTATTCGGGTTCAGGATGCTCAGAATTTGGCCTTCATGAGCTTAGTGTAAATGTTATTGCTTTTGTCTCCTCAAAACTCCCACAACTGTTACATCAAAATCATCCTCACGGAAGCTGTTTGTGCACGCATCAGACGGTTTTATTCTCGCCATTGCTGCCATTTGGCTAGCTGTGCCCTTCTTTAGCCTCTTGGTGGAGTCACTTACCACCCAGAAGGTGTGTGTGTCTGGGGGAAGTTTGCAGTGGGACGGATGACCTGTACCTGGTACGTGTTTCCGACACTAAGGGCCCGGCCACCGCTTCCTTCTGAGGCTCTCATGCCCAGAGCTGATTATCCTGTTTGGTGTCACTTGGTGGGGCTGCATTAGTGTCCCTTTCAGATGTATTTATGATGCTGCATCACTCACAAAGATGAGGTGCCATTTGCTATGTGAGTGAGTGTTGTCCTCTCACTATGAAAGTTCTGAGGAAGTGTCAAGGGGGAGCACACAGTCCTGCATCTCCGTGTCCCATGTTGTACGAGGGCCTCCCACGTAGCCAGAGGGCAAAGGCCTGACTGTGGCTGATGGCGGGAGCCAGGAGGCGTCCCTCCTCAGATCACCTGCTGGATGCCACTTCCTCCTGCGCCCAAGTCTTGAGCTGTGGCCCAGGGGGGCCGAGTTCTCCCCTGGGGCCCACAGATGGGCTTCACATGGTCTGTGAACTTATAAAATGGCAAAAGTGGCTATCTTAGCTCATGTTTGTTGCTACCCAAGGCTGGGTGATTTGTAAACAAAGGAGGTTATTTGCCGTGTAGTTCTATAGGCTGGATAAGAAGCACAGCACCAGCATCCCCTCAGCTTCTGGTAAGGGCCCAGGCTGCCTCCACTCATGGCAGAAGGTGAGGGGAGCGTGGCAGAGATCACATGGCGAGAAAGGAAGCGAGCGAGCGAACAAGAGAGAGAGACAGAGAGAGAGAGAGAGAGAGAGAGAGAGAGAGAGAGAAGGGCCAGGCTCTTCTTAATGACCAGCTCTTGCAGAATGAACAGACTGAAAACTCACTCCTCCCGCCATTAATCTATTCATGAGGGGTCCTCACTCATAACCTTTCATTAGGACCCACCTGCAATACTGGGATCAAATTTCAACATGAGGCTTGGAGGAGACAAACATGCCAACCACAGCAGTGCACTTGGAGGCTCTTTAGGGTGGATGGTACATACTTTTCATCAAAGAGTTGGTTGGTCTCCAAAAAGATTAAAACAATTGTCTTAGAGAATCCTTGAATAAACAGAGATACATCATTTTAAGCTTTCTTTTAACTTTTTATTTCGAAATGGTTTTAAACTTACAGAAAAGTTGCAAAAACAAGCGAGAGTTCACATCTATCTTTCACTCAGCTTCCCCTGATATGAACAATTCACAGAATTGTAACAACCAGGAAATTGACACCGGTGCCATACACACTAGAACCCAATAAACTACTGACCCTGTGTACATTTCACCAGATACCCCGGTGTTCATTCTCTGTTTCAAGATCCAATCCAGGATTCCACATTGTGTATAGTTGTGTCTTCTTGATCTCTTCAAATCTATGGCATTTCCTTATTTTAAAGAAGAAGATAAAATCTGTTGGTAATGATGATGTTAAAATTCAAGACAAACAAATGGGGGGGCAACAAATAGGGGCAAACAAATGATCTGCCTCTCTTTCTTCCTTCTTGCCTTCTTACTCATTTTTTGTCCCAAGCAAAACTTTAAAATTAGTTTTATTTTCATTTGCTACCATTGAAGTAAAAAGTAATAATTTTTATTTTAAAATAAATAAAATATATTGTTGTTACTTTTAAAGGCTTTAAAGGCCTTAACTATTAAACATATTTCACATCAGTCAAATATATTTAATATAAATATTAATACATGACTATATAAAATATACAGTACATGACTAATATATATTTAATATAAAATATGTGACTGTAATAATCATACGACTGATTTTACAACTTCGCAGTAAAGAATTTAACAGGTCTCACTTTTGTCCTCAGCTTCTGGGAGGTGATCTCTAAGCTCTTGGAATATAATACCTCACGGGATTGTCTTCATTTGCCCGGGGGCCTTGGCTCACACCGGATAGTCTAACAATGTGATTCAGGGTGGGGCTGCCACACTGGGTAGTCTTAGGATGGGACCTGGACATTCCAGGTGGGAACAGTATATGTGGGGTGGGGGCTTTGGGACATGTGGTGTTAGGTGACCTCTGGAGACTGGAGACTGAGGTTGGCCACACAGAAGGCCAGTCTTCCCTCCATGGTGGAGCCCCAAGTCTGCTCTTGGAAACAGATGTGTATGCAGATACTATGTGTGTTATATTAACTTGGAAAGGATTTTGGTAGGCATCACTCTTCTCTCCACGGTTTAGAGAAGTTACCATGGAGCCCAATGGACATCAAGACTTGAGTGGCTTCTCCTGTTGGCTGTAGCACTCCATGTGTATTGTCACACATCAATGCTGGGACAGTAATGCTGTGCTGGCTTATGGGAAGAGGATAACAGGGACTGCATTTGGTGCTTTTCCTGGACTCTGTGTGCTGTTCCCGTGGCTGATTTTAATCTAGCCTTTCACTGAAAATAAACCATAGCCACACGTAGAACAGCGTTCAGTGAGTTCTATCTCTTTTTAGCAAATTATTAAACCTAAGAGTGGTTTTAGGAACCCTCCAAATTTGCAGCTGGTTTCACAAATGAGGGCAGTCTTGTGCACTGTTCCCGTAATTTGCAGTTGGACTTAACTCTTGCAATGAATTTGAAACCCATGAGTCTTTGCACTTGAAGATAAAAATCATTCTTCTCCCAAGACAAAAAAGGGATTGTTTCTAGTAAAGTGGCATTTTATATTTAGCACATGGATTTTGATGAAAGTTTCTTTATATTTCAATGTTTCCTATATAAGAACACAACAGAACAAAGCTGGTCAGTTCAAGACCTGAAGTTATCTCACATGCATTGAGGGTTTATAACGACCATTAGCTTTCTTCTAAACTACAACAGAGATTAAGCCCAACAAAGAACCACTGTCTTGAAAGATCCCAACCATGATCTGTCACACATGCACCTCTGTCTAGAGTCCAGAGCTCTTTAAAAGGTCTGAAATGTTTTGCCAAAATCTAAGTTCTTCAGGACTAAAAAACCAGCTTGATTGACTTGTTTTGTTTTAGAAAATTGTCTTTTAGTTTTAAGCACAATTATGTAATTCTAGCAGATGGGGTGGTGGTGTAGTTTGGCAACAGGGGTATCTTTCCAGGGGCTCAATTACAATAGGTTTGCTCTGCACTGAGTGCGCTTTTTATTATGGGAACCAGACATATCAAGTGTGGTGTATTTTCCTGGCAACTGAACTTGCCTTGATGGTTATTAAGTTTCTGAAAACAGAAGTCCCAAGATTTACTTGAAAAGAGGAAAGCTAAATTATAGGGTAAAGGCTAAACTGATGCTTTACATTATCAAAGACTGCTATTTTCAGAGCACTACAAAAATGGACTTTAACTGTGAAGATGGTTTATGCTATGGCATTTTTGGAACATATTTGTTGATTTTAAAAGTTTAAATATATAGGAAATATTTAATGTGCATAAGTGAACACATCCTTTTTTTTGCTTTTATTTTCTCTATTCCTAAAATCCTTCCAACGGAAAGTTCTAATCGTGAAAAAGTACCGTAGTCTGTTAGCATTTCAACCGTTGGTAAACTTTTATTTAGGACTTTTCCAGCATTTGATTCTTAACTTACCAGTTTATTAACTAGAATGCCTTTAAAATAAAATTCACTGTACTAAGAGTTGAAATGAGTTGTTTTTAACTCATAAAATGAGCTGCCAAAAAGTATTTTCCTATATTTTGATGAATAACATTTATGATTATAAAAATTTAAAACATTTAAGTGGATATAATTTTACATTTAAAAGTACTCCCTAATAAAATTAGAGACTTTTTTTTTCTGTAATCTTTCTACAAGTAAAGGAGAAGTGGCTATTCTAATTTTAGGACCCTGTTCTTGTTCACATAGCTGGAGGTCTTCACGGGAGGGTGTTCTCATGGCATGCAATTCTTTGTGCATAGCAGGCACCCGACAAACACTAAACCATAGTGAAGCTCCCAAGGAACAGTCCAAGTCTGTTGCTTGGGAACAGTCCAAGTCTGTTGCTCTTGGAAACAGACATGTGTATGTAGATACCATGTGTGTTATATGTAACTTGACCCTTTTTGGTAGGCACCGCTCTTCTCTCCATGGCTTAGAGAAGTTACATCTCGTGTCCAGGATCTCATGGCTAGTGTGTCTGGGATTCTACCCAGGTCTGAGGCAAGGCTGGCTCCTTCCAATTCTCCAGGTTTTCCTGATGGGATATGCATTGAACAGTAACAGGTGCACCTGGGGAAAAAAAATAAAGAAAAAAGAAAAAACCCAGAAGGGCTTTACCAAATAGGAACAGAGGCACTGACATCAATGTTAACATTAAAAAAGCATGGTTTTGTCAACAGATATTGGCAAGATATATGTGAACAGCATTTAACAAAAATTATGATCAACATTAAGGATAATATTTTTGAAGCTTTATGAATTTTGTTACTTTTTGACATAAAGACATAATATTTAGAGTTAAGAAAAATTTGACCAAATACACTGGTTAGGTAATTTGATTCACCATTATTAGTTTACATTAGTCAAATTGGCAAAGGTAGGTATAGATTACAAAGCAATAAAATAGAATTAATTGATAGATTCTGAGCTTTGGAGATTTTTCAGTATCTGAAATTACTACAAAATATTATAATTTATTATGAGATAAGGAAAACCAATATATTATTAACCACTTCGGTACGGTGCTCACCGGCCACACAACCTTGCCCACAGCCGGCACTCACAGTCCGCACAA